TAAAGTGCACTGGTTTCTTCGTGGACTCGGCACCGAATTTTTAGCTTTTTCTACTGCTCAGACGGCTCTTACCTCTATCCCCTGTTTTGCAGATTTAGTCTCTAAAGCTGAAAGTTTTGAGTTGTTTCAGCTCTCCCTTGAGTCCTCTAACTCCACTCCTACAGCGTTCACAGTCACTAATCGTGGTCGCACCCATGGAAGCCACCCTGCTTCCTTTACCAACCAGCGAGGTCGTTCTTATTCTCACAAAAACAACTCTTCTAATCGAGGACGAACCCACTCAAGTCAAGGTCGTCGACCACCTCACTGCCAAATATGCCGCAAAGAGGGCCATTATGCTGACAGCTGCAACCAACGGTATGTTTGACCTGATTCTTCTCATGCTCACCTTGCTGAAGCCTTTAACACGTCATGTTCTATTGCTGGACCCGATACTGCTGATTGGTTTCTGGACACTGGAGCTTCGGCCCATATGACTGCCGATCCATCTATTTTGGATCAGTCTAAAAATTACACGGGTAAGGACTCTGTGATTGTAGGAAACGGTGCATCCCTACCCATTACCCACACCGGTACTCTTTCTCCTGTTCCAAATATTCACTTGTTAGATGTCTTGGTTGTCCCTCATCTCACTAAAAATCTTCTTTCCATAAGTAAATTAACGTCTGATTTTCCTCTCTCCGTTACATTTACTAATAATCTTCTTACTATCCAGAATCGTCAAACAGGAAGGGTGGTGGCAACCGGTAAAAGAGATGGAGGGCTTATATGTGCTGGAGCGCGGCAACTCTGCTTTTATTTCAGCCCTTAGAAACAAATCTTTACGTGCTTCATATGATTTATGGCATGCTCGTCTAGGTCATGTGAATCATTCTGTTATTTCTTTTTTAAATAGAAAAAGTCATCTTTCTCTTACGTCTTTATTGCCTTCTCCATCATTATGTAATACCTGTCAGCTTGCGAAAAGTCATCGATTGCCTTATTCCCGCAATGAACGTAGGTCGTCTCATGTGTTAGATCTTATTCATTGTGATCTTTGGGGTCCTTCTCCCGTCAAATCAAATTCGGGTTTCCTTTATTATGTTATTTGTATTGATGATTATTCTCGATTCACTTGGTTTTACCCTTTAAAATTTAAATCTGATTTTTTTGATATTTTTCTTCAATTTCAAAAATTTGTGGAAAATCAATATTCTTCTCGTATTAAGGTATTTCAAAGCGATGGTGGTACCGAATTTACTAGTACTTGTTTCAAAACTCATTTACGTAATTCTGGCATCCACCATCAACTCTCTTGTCCATATACACCTGCTCAAAATGGTCGTGCTCAGAGAAAACATCGTCATGTGACTGAGACTGGCTTGGCCCTTCTCTTTCACTCTCATCTTTCTTCTCGTTTTTGGGTTGACGCCTTCAGCACTGCAGCTTATATTATCAACCGGTTGCCTACTCCACTTCTTGGAGGTAAGTCACCCTTTGAACTCCTTTATGGCTACACTCCACATTATGACAATTTTCATCCCTTTGGTTGTCGTGTTTATCCTTATTTGCGTGATTATATGCCTAACAAGCTTTCTCCCCGCAGCATTCCTTGTATTTTTTTTGGGTTATAGTCCTGCTCATAAAGGGTTTCGCTGTCTTGATCCGGCCACCACTAAGCTATATATCACCTGTCATGCTCAATTTGATGAAACCCACTTTCCTGCTATCCCTAACTCCCAGACCCAACCTCTTTTCTCTATTTCTATTTCAAATTTCTTAGAACCACATTTTCATCATATTGATTCATCCCCCCCTACCACTTCATCACCGCAAACTCCTCGATCCAGTTCATCCCCGTGTGATATTTGTTCTGACCTTGTAGATGAGTCTGTACAGGTTGATACTTCTCTTGCAGGTTCCACTTTGCCACCCTCGACTTCTAATTCGACCTCTATTGAACCTCCTGTTGATTTCTCTTCTTTGGGCACTCATTCTATGATCACACGAGCCAAAGCTGGTATATTCAAGACTCGTCATCCAGCAAATTTTGGTATTTTGGGCTCATCTGGACTTCTTTCTGCTCTTCTTGCATCCACTGAGCCAAAAGGATTCAAATCTGCGGCTAAGAATCCTGCTTGGGTGGCTGCCATGGATGAAGAAATTCGAGCATTACAACAAAATGATACTTGGACTTTGGTTCCTCGCCCTGCCAACACCAACATCGTGGGCTCTAAATGGGTGTTTCGTATTAAATATTTGCCTGATGGATCTGTCGAGCGTTTCAAGGCTCGTCTTGTTGCCAAAGGTTATACTCAGGTTCCTAGTCTTGACTACACTGACACTTTCAGTCCGGTTTTCAAAGCTACCACTGTCCGTGTTGTGCTTTCTATTGCACTCACAAATAAATGGCCTCTTCGACAACTTGATGTCAAGAATGCTTTTCTCAATGGAACTCTTATTGAACGTGTTCATATGGAACAACCTCCTGGGTATATTGATCCTCGATTTTCCACTCATGTTTGTCTATTAAAGAAAGCCCTCTATGGTTTAAAGCAAGCTCCTCGTGCTTGGTTTCAGCGTTTTAGCTCATTTCTTCTCACACTTGGGTTTTCTTGCAGTCGCGCTGACACGTCCCTTTTTGTCTTTCATCAGCAATCTAACATTATCTATTTGCTTCTTTATGTTGATGACATTATTGTTACCGGCAACAACTCATCTCTTATTGACAGCTTTACTCGCAAGCTTCATTCTGAGTTTGCTACCAAAGATTTGGGTTCTCTCAGTTACTTTCTTGGTCTTGAAGCTTCACCCACTCCTGATGATCTCTTTATTAGTCAGTTAAAATATGCTCGAGATATTCTTACTCGTGCTCAGTTGCTCGATAGCAAACTAGTTCACACTCCCATGGTTGTTTCTCAACACCTGACTGCTGATGGTTCTCCTTTCTCTGATCCTAGTCTCTACAGATCTCTTGTTGGCGCCCTTCAGTACTTGACTATTACGCATCCAGATATTACCTATGCTGTCAATTCTGTCAGTCAATTCTTGCATGCCCCTACTGCAGATCACTTTCTTGCTGTCAAACGTATTCTTCGATATGTCAAAGGAACACTCCACTTTGGTCTTACCTTTCGTCCATCCACTGTTCCTAGTACGCTAGTCGCTTATTCGGATGCTGACTGGGCTGGTTGTCCCGATACTCGTCGTTCTACATCCGGCTATTCTATTTATCTTGGTAACAATCTGGTTTCTTGGAGTGCCAAAAAGCAACCTACTGTCTCACGCTCCAGCTGTGAATCTGAGTATCGTGCTCTTGCCACAACCGCTGCTGAACTTCTTTGGGTTACGCATCTTTTGCATGACCTCAAGGTCCCTATTTCAAAGCAGTCCTTACTCTTATGTGACAACAAAAGTGCTATTTTTTTGAGCTCTAATCCCGTTTCTCACAAGCGGGCCAAACATGTTGAACTAGATTATCATTTCCTTCGAGAACTTGTTATCGCTGGCAAACTTCACACACAATATGTACTCTCTCATCTCCAAGTTGCTGACATCTTCACAAAGAGTATTTCTCGACCTCTTTTTGAATTTTTCAGATCCAAGCTTTACGTTCGTTCAAATCTAACGCTCAGCTTGCGGGGGGGTTTTAAGGATAGTTGACCGTTCACTATAAGGCAAATATCTAGATATTTGCCTTACATTACGGGTTACCATATTTGCCCTCTTATTAAAGGCAAATATATTGCATTCATTTATTATTCTTTCCTTTTATTACTATTTCCATAATATTTGTAATTTACCATATTTCTGTATCCTGAAAATGATTATAAATAAGAAACTCTCATCCCCATTTAGGCGTGGTGATTCAGCAAACATTCACAGTTTTAAATTAAATAGAAAATGTATATGCATAAAGTATGTCATATAGATTTAAAATTCCACCATAGGCTAAGCATGTTTCATGCATTCCACGTATGTTATAAGTGTTATAATATATAGTATGCATGTTTAGGGTTCCATGAGTGATAGATATAAATTGTTATATAAAGCATGTTAGACGCATGTTATAGGTTATTTTCAACGTCATAAAACGAGATAGACGTTAAAATCTATAATAAAGATAAGTGCATGCTCACTTAGGGTTAAGAACCGCGCACGATCAATTTTAATAGTTAAAATAGGTCGATGTCTTACAAAATTGCGGTTACGAGAAAGCTCACCTGGCACGATCTTTTGCGGTCACAAAATTGCGATCTCGACCAATATCTAATTACAATTTTTTTTAATACAATACACCATTATTCATTAAATATAATGTTAAAACTAAATCCACTCATATTTATTTTAAGCAAATTTTTATAATTACTCTTATTTTATTTAATAAAAATAAAATTAATAAAATTATTATTAATTTATTGTAATCTATATTTTTATAAGAATTATTTTTGAGTTTTATTATAATCTATATTTTTTATAAGAATTATTTTTGAGTTAAGGAATATTTTCAATCGTTTTTTATTTATTTATTTCTATTAGAAACTAAAAATAAACGTTTAATCATAAACCATCTACTACTCGTACTATTAGCGCCATTAAATACTCCGATCAAAAAAATGACCGTCATTTTTAAATATATTCATTTGAAATAAGATATTCAAAAATATTTTAATAAATATTTTATTTAAGATATTTAAAAATAAGAGGTATAAAAACAAAATATCTAAAATACCTAAAAAAAAATCAAATAATTTATTTCAAAATTTCACACATAAATTTTATTTATATTTATTTTTGTTATCATATTTATAAGATAAATATTATTTTTGTTACCATATTTATAATATTTTATTATAGTTTAATTTTAAATAATTAGTCTCGTAAATTATTTTATTTTTATTATATCAAATTAAACCAAATGTAATACAACTACTGAAACTTATAATCAAGACTACATTTAACTCATATTTAAAATAAAATCTCAATCTCAATTTCAATCTTGGAATGCTTAATACAACAAATTACTCTAAAAATTTACCTAATTTTCCTGTTAAAATATTGGGAAGAACGTTAAAATTAAAGCAGTCAATGTTGTGAACCGAAAAATCTCTCGCAGTTGTATCATCTATTAACTTCTCCATCTTCTTGGTGGTGGGATTATACAACATTAATTCAGCTCCAGCCCAAAGACACAAGATCTTTCCATCTTTACATATTTTAATCGGTTCCACCGTCGATTTTGAGAAGGAAAGTATATTTTTATTGACATCTGGTATGATGACACTAAATGCTTTAATCCACAAACCATCTTCTTTCATCTTCCACACCCTATACTTGTACCCCTCCATAGAAAGAGTTAAATGAATGGCACCATTAAATATTCCAATACAAGGAAAATAACCGTCATCATCAGGAAAAGGAATCTGCTCGTATTTCTCATCTTCCATATTTAGACGATAAATGACATCCGGACCAAGATTATTTTGGCCAATCCAATGCAGCCCTCCGTTTAAGTAAACACCATGGCATCCATTAAAAGAACAAGTTGGTGACTCAATACGCGTCCATTCGGGCCGGGTCCCAAAGGCAAAAATCTCTGTTTTGTAGTTATGGATGATGGAGTTTCTATCACGAACAGTAGAGCTTCTTACCACTTTGTATTGTTTTGTTTTGGGACAAAACCCAAATCCATAGTAGCAAGTAAACCAATTCCCTTTGAATTTGTCTTTGGGGAGTTCGAAGTACTCATTCGTAATGGGATTTAATATCACGACACTATTCGGGCTAAGCCAGCTATTTGTCTTTTTAGTGACCACGAAAGCCAAGAGTCCATTGCACGAATTGATAGTTGAGATAAAAGAACGTTTAAAATACTTACGCTTCAAGTTGAATGAAGCAACACTCCTCACCCCTTCCATGTGGTCGGGATCCAATTCCAAGCAATGGAGATTACGAAAGCAATGAGAATTAGGACGATCACGACTGTCTGAATAAACATGTGCAAGGAAGAAGTCGGAAGCATGCGAGATTGAAGGGTGATGCTTAGAACTTAAGATCACATCGTTCCAGGTTTTGCAGACCAGCCTACAGCTCGGCAAACAATAGGAAGGGAGTTTGTTGACTATTAGCTCGATGACATCAGGTACGAGTTCGGAAATTTTGTTGCCTTGATCATGAGCCATCCTAGTCGAAAGTTGTTGGTTAGTGAATTTAATTGAACTAAAGAGAAAGAAGCTGCTCCCAATTCAAATTGGATTGGAAAAAATAATGGTGGTTTCTGTATTTATAATTTAAAAAAACTAAAAAAAATCTAATATTTTCTATTTTAAAAACTAATCTTTTCTTGTTTTGAATAGTCTCGATTTGAGATATATTTTTTTTTTCATATTAACGTATACATGAAATATATAAAATAATTGAAGGAGCTAAAGTAATTTAAAAAATTTTAATTTGATTTTTTTAATATTAAAAAAATAAATATTGTTTTTTTAAGGTATATAATTTATTTTAGTCAAATATACTGTTTTTTTAATGAAATTTTATCAATTCCGAAAACTTTTTTAACTTAAATTCAAATTTATTTTAAATCTTTATTTAATTTTTAAAATTAGGTGTTAAGATTTTTTTTTATTATTATTTCAAAAATTAACCATTATAAATTGGGTGCATCACAAACATCTAATATTTTTAATATATTTAATAATAAGATTTAATCCAATAATTTAAGATTATATTTTATTTAAAATTTTAAAAATTTATTAAAACTTTTCTAATTTAAGAATGTATTGAAGGTAGTTTGTTTAAATAAAATACGAAAGAATAAAATATATGAGAAGAAGATATTTAAAAATTAATTAAAAATCAGATAAAAATCAAAATTTTACATTATTTTTTGTTCAAATATTTATAATATTTTTTGTTATACTATTTAATTTCAAACTTAATTATTTTATTTTTATTATTTTAATTTATTGAGATAAATAAACTAATTTTTTTTTAGAAAAATAAACAAAAAAATGATCCTGAGACAATTTCCAGTCGTGTCGAGGAAGATACTGAAAGTGGTAGGTGGGCGAGCAAATTTTCAATGTTCGACTCGGCAAGCTCCCTTACCAAAGATCTCGTTGGTTATTTATTTTGTTTCATTTTACAAAAATAATCTCTTATTTTTCGTCTCAAAATGACCCTTAAAATAAGGTTGCAAGTTTTAACACTCAAATGAATTGAACAATAATATTAATTTGCATGAATCTATTTGTGATGTCCCAGGTTGGTTGGAAGGAGAACAAACACCATTTATAAGGGTGTGGAAACCTTCCCCTAGCAGACACGTTTTAAAGCCTTGAAGAGAAACCCGAAAAGAAAAGCCCAAAGAGAACAATATCTGCTAGGGGTGGATCTGGGCCATTACAAATGGTATCAGAGCCAGACACTGGGTAATGTGTCAGTCTTCTCGCACTTCTCCGAAGGGGGTAGACATGAGGCGGTGTGCCAGTAAAGACGTTGGGCCCTAAAGGGGGTGGATTGGGGGCCGTCTGACATCGATGGGAGGAAGGAAAGAGTGCTAGCGAGGACGTGCCCTAGTAGACGCATTTTAAAGCCTTGAATTGTGATGTCCACCATTGGTTGGGTGGGGAGGAGAACAAACCACCATTTATAAGGGTGTGGAAACCGAAACCTTCCCCTAGTAGACGCATTTTAAAGCCTTGAGGGGAAGCTCAATGAGGACAACCGCTGCTAGCGGTAGATCTAGGCCGTTACACTATTTTTATCCTAAATTAAAAAAAAAAAAAGTGTAATAAATTTTTATTATTTTTTTTTATTTTTAAAAATAAAATAGTATGAATTTATTTGTTTTGCTTTACCAAAATTAAAGGTAAATTTTAATATGAAAACCTTGTTTATGAAAATAGAATTTAAAATAGAAGTTTTTTCCTTAAAAAAATAAAAAGAAAAAGAAAAAGAAAAAAAAATACAAGAGACGAAGCCAAAAAAACACGGGTGCATGGGAATAAGAATGGTCCTCAATACAGAGAAAAACTACCTCCTTAAGAAGAAGAAAACATTCCTCCAATCATTCTCGTGAACTTTCCCAACCTGATCCCTTGTTGGATGATGAAAGAACCACATCAGCTAATTTAGGGAATGATCATGCGTTTATAAACAAAGAATACTCTCTCCATTGGTATGAGATCTCTTGGGGAAGCCTATAGCAAAGTCATGAGAGCTTATGATCAAAGTGGACAATATCATACCATTGTGGAGAGTCGTGTTCGTCTAACATGGTACCAGAGTCATGCCCTAAACTTAGTCGTGCCAATAGATTGGTAAATCCTCAAATATCGAATAAATGACTCCAAAAGAAAACGAGTCAAGCCTCCACGAAGTCTCGTCAAAAGACTCTAGTTCTCCTTAGATAATAACATGTAGTGTAATAAATGTGAATATCTTTCTGTGCTCTAACGGTTCTGGATAGTCTCCTCACAACCTGCTCAAGTGTCACTTACTCCACCTTTAGTTCCTACGACACCATTATTATCATTTATCGATATTGATTTTTCGAGTTCTATTTGATGTTTCTTTATTTCGAGTTAATATATTTTGTGCTAAAAGATCATCACTAGTCTAATAGAATCACGTATAATCATTATAAAATCCAATTATCAAAAAGACTGATTAACCCACTTGTAAGTTTCATCAAAAGACTCTAGTTCTCATTCGTCAGATAGCAACATATAGTGTAATGAATGTGAATATCTTTCTGGTGTTCTAACGGTTCTGGATAGTCTCCTCACAATCTGCTCAAGTGTCACTTGCTCCATCTTTAGTTTCTCAACAGCCGTTTTAACAATTTCTTGAGTTTTTGCTACAAGATCACTCGGTGAATTTTTATGCAACTCAACATCAACTCCAACTTGTTTCGTAGTCTCTGTGTCTTTCTTCTCATTGTTCTTATATCAGACGTTTTAATCAAATATCACGTCATAATCTCTCAGAATTTTTCTATTTTATCATCTCGAAACCTAAACCCAAACATGTTAGAACCATAGTCTATGAAGAAGAACTCACAACCTTAACATCAAACTTGTCTATCTTCTCTAAACCAATATGAACAAATGTAGTGCAACCAAAAGTTCTCAAGTAAAAGCATTTGAGTTCAGGGTTTTGTATTCAAAACATGAGCTCATAATGTCTTTAGCAGTTCAGAATGAATTCTCATACTCCTTGCCCGTTCATTCAATGTTCTTTTCATTCTTCCAACAACACCATTTTATCTTGTCTTACTGGGAACGACCCTCATTAATCTGATTCCCTTACCTACATGAAATGCTTTTAATTCTGACATCTCATATTCTCCTACATTGTCAAATTTTGGGCATTTCATTTTCTAACGGATCAAATTTTTAATTTAGCTTTTCCTTTAAAAGGTGGCAAACTCATCTCACTTGTGTTCCATGAAATAGACTGGTACTTTTTAATTGGAATCATCAATGAAGGTGAAGTAGAACTTAGATCCACAAAGTAAATAGAACCGGAGATGATTCACAAACATTTATATGAACCATTTTCAACCATACTTTTTTTTTTTTGTTCTCTTGCAACCTTTATGAAATTAACTCATTTCTATGAGTTCATCACACAATTCTCACAAAGACCCATATCAATAGGTTTCAGACCCTCCAAAGCTCCTCTTGCAAACATTTCATTCATTTAACGCTCATATATCCAAGTCTATTGTAGCATAGACTTAAACTAGAAGCACTCAGTAGTAGCAACCATGTTGATACACCCTATAGTGGTGTATAAGATTCCATATTTTGTGTCATGTGCTACAATCTTAGTACCCTTCACAATCTTCCACAAACTCTACTGCATATCTCGTGCTCTCCAACTGAAAAATAGAGATCAGATTCTTCTTTAGTTTTTAAAAATACTCAATAAGTAGTCTCATTGTTGGGGTCGACAAATGCAAATACAAGCGAACATGGTGGGACCTTATCTGTTCGTAAAAAAACATTTCATAGTCTTAGATTCTACCTTCTAGTTGGGGCAAGATTGTGTATTATTTTTCTACACAAGACCCACACATGTGCACATGGACCCATCAAGCGGGCTCGTATATGTTCCACTGGGCCTAGCTCGTCGGGCTAACACATGCTCATGCTAACAAATGCCATGAAGAGAAAGGACCCACATGATATCATGGTGAACATAAATATCGTATAAGTACGCATCCGTACTAATCATAATGAGGAAGTATCTTGATGTTGGGATTTATGTCAAAAACCTCGTAATTAGTTATTGGCTTTTAATAGTAATTAGATTATTTTATTTGTAACTTAATATTATCCATGATATAAAAAATTCCAATTTTACTAATGCAAGCTTAAACAACATGGGGCTAAAATTCAAAAAGATTATGTTTGAGTAATAACTTAAAGGGTCTATAGTACATGAATAAGGTTGGGTGCCTTATCCGACAACACTAATAAGTTAATATTCATAGCAGTGGTACTCAATCCTTGTTACAAATTAGATTATATATCATTTTGCTTTCGAATATTTAAGGAGATGGCATGGTTAAAGTGACAGTGGATGACATAAAAAATTATTTAATTCGTTTGTATGATTACTCCAAGTTTTATGATAATACTTGAGATAATCACCAATCTAAACCAAGACTCACTTATAATATTGAGTATGGACACAACTGATGAAGTGAATTTGAGTGCTTCAATATTAGTATTATCAAGATATAATCAAAGAAGAGAAGAGCAAAATTCATTAGAATTAAAGAATGACGTGGATCGATGTTTATCTGGCCCCAGTGAAAAACTATGATAATTTTGATGTTTTGACGTGGTGGAAAACAAATGAGTTTAAACATAGAGTTTTATAAAAAAATTGTCCAAGATGTTTTAGCCATTCCAGCGTCCCATGTAGCTTATGAATTAGAAGAATTCTTTATTCTTTTATTTGACACCTAAAACAGAGGAAACTTTGTACACAAAATTGGATCGATAGAAAATCAGTATCATTAACAACTTAAGATTTAGAGATTTATCGTAAAATTGAGACAAGTAACTACAAATTTGTTTATTGTTTATTTGTTGCAATGTATATCTCACCATTTATAATTTTCTAATTTTGCAGATGATTTAGAGCCCTCCATCTCCACCAAAAATAATTATTTTTCAATATAAGAAAAATATTTTTAATAATAGTTCTTTTTGTTAGGCATACTTTATTTAAATTATTTATTTATATTGTTTTTTCATAATGGATACGTTCAAGTTTATTCTCCAATTGTCTCTCAAAAAATTGGACATTTTTTTTTTCAATTAAAAAAACAGAAAATTCTGTTTTTAAAAAATAATTTCTCTCAAAAGAGGGAGGAGGTTTGGGTTTGAGGCTAGGGACGAAAGGGTAATTTGAAATCTGAATTAGTGTTGGTATTACTCCAAGACATATTGAGTTGTGGTATTACTATATTATTGTATGACTTTTCTCGTTTGTAAGACTATAAGAATTTTTCTATATTTTGTAAGGCTGCAAGTCTTTTTTCCACCCTTTGTAAGACGTCCACGAAAGCAACTTGCATTAAGAATAGAAGATTGAATATTTTTAAATTTATAAGTACGTTGTTGAATGATTATATATTGTGAAGGTAGATAATTTAATTATATACGGTAACTTTAGAATTGATTCATTGCCTATCCTTTACATAGTTATAGGTGATATTATGAATGAAATAGAGAGTTGGGTACTTTTAAACTAAAAAGCTTATAGGTGGTAATTGTTGTAGCATTTTAGATGATACTAATTAAATTTTTGGGATGAGTTGGGTTACCAATCCAACTACACCATGTACACCCATAATATACTGTATGCATTGAAGAGAAAATAAGACATAAACAAGATAGGAACAACGAGTAGACACGAGTGCCAAAGACAGGCTTGTTGAAGGGCCGAGTAGGGCTCCGTACCTTAAACTCAAAATTTGGGGTTCCGAAGGAAATTTGGGTACGCGGTTCTAGAGTCAAATCCGTCCATATAAACTATGAATGATTGCCAAATTTTGTATTAATCGGACACCGAATGAATGCTTCACAACACCAAATGATCGTTTGCCAAATGACATCTACCTGATGAGTATTGAAAATGTCTCAAAATGTATTATAGGGGGGGGGGCATGATGTCAGCTCTCCACCACCCAAGCTATCTTGTGGCACATGTGTGTGTCACAGTGAGGTCGAGCGTTACGAGACAAGTGTCTCAAATGACTTTTCTTTGAAATGGGTCTTTCAAGGACAGTATCGAGCGACACGAGTGCACCGGTATTGCGTCCTAGCTCGAGTGTTGGAGGTTAGATTTTACAACTGTTATGCGGTACGTATCCATAAATGATATGACATGGGCACGGGAAGGCCAATGCCTCAATTATAATTTGATGAATGGATGTTCGGGATGTCTCGATAATATAAACGACACGTGGGCCTGTTCTTGATGGCATGATCGAGTGAGTTGCGATGGCCGACTAAGTATTCAGGTTGGAGCTCAGGTGGTGGGTTGATGTATGGGACTCAGGTCGCCTAAATATAATTGTGGAGTTGGTTGCATTCTGCTAGTGGGTCACGTATTTCTAGCTTGCAAAAATTGGGCCGAGGGTGTCATAATCACACTCTTGCAGTAGCGAGACTTCGATTGTGTGGCAGTTATTCTAACACAACGAATAAGTTAGCCGTATGAATATCAAACTTTGCAAACAATATCGGCGTGCGCTTGAGCCCCTCGGGTTATATTTAAGAGAAATGTTTTAGAAAATCTGAGTGAGGAAATACGTTTAAAATTTTTTTTGAGAAAGCAATGTTATAAGTTAAAAACGAGTGGGCAACAACGATGACGTTGATAAGATATAACCGAGGTAGGAAAAATTGACAACTAGTCACATCCCCTTATAGTATATTTTTAGGCATTGTTAGCTCTGGCGGGGTGCAGATATAATTTTGGTGATCGGTCGTCCACCGCCGTATTGACATTAACAATAATAGTAAAAGCCTATCTTTGACACTCGTGTTTACTCGTGGTGTGTTCTCATGCATCGTCCTCCTTCGCTATTAAATTTTTATTTAAAAAATTTTATGTTTGGGATGAGTTAGATTAATTATTTAGTAAAAGGTTTTTTGGGTCGAAAAATTTACAACTCTTAATAATCAGGTTGGGTCTAAAAAAAAATATCTTAATCAGACCTAACTCAATTAGGAATTTCTCTAATTTTGCTATTAACTTTCGAGTATATTTACAAATTTCGTCCTTTTTTACAAGGCTGAAAATAATTGAAATGGTCAAAGTGTAAGAACTCATTATATTAATGTATTATCTTATTGACTTCACCAACTCAGTTGTCTGCAAAAACGACTTAGGGATGACAAATATTAATACTATTTTCTGAATAGGCAAAAAATAAATTAGTTACAAAGATTTGACCGAATAATCTGCATTCACATGCTATTATTTTTTGTATTATTAAGTTAGGCGTAATTATTCTTGTTCTCGTTCTCGTTCTCGTTCTCGTTCTTGTTTGTTTAATTGTCCCGAGATGAAGTACGATGTGTTCATAAGTTTTAGAGGCAAAGATGTTCGCAAGAACTTCGTGGGATTTTTGCACCAAGAATTGGAGCGTTTGGGGCTAAAAGCTCTCGTAGACGAGAAAGAGTTCAAAATCGGAGAAGATCTATTCGATTTGTTCAAAATAATAGAAGAATCGAAGTTCGTGATTGTGATTCTTTCGAATAATTATGCTTCTTCCAAATGGTGTTTGAGAGAGCTTACCAAAATCATGGAGTCTATGGAAATGGCTCAAGCTCGTGCTCTTCCTGTGTTCTACCAGGTACAGCCTTCTGAAATTAGAAACCTTTCCAACCCTTTTCTTAAGAAGAAGTTTGTTAAGTTTAAAAGCTTTATGAAAGGAGTTGATGATCAAAAAATGCGAAGGAAATTGGAAGAGATTAAACGTTGGAAGAAGGCCATGAAGAAGATTACCACTCGCACCGGTGTTGTCATCACCAAATCCAGGTAACTTTTAAGTTATTTTCCAATCTCTTTCGATTGGTTTTAAACACTTAAATGAGTAGGAATATACACGAGCTTGTTTGGATTTGAAAATTTTATTGCACCAACCTGAAATTTCAGGTTTATCGGATTGGTGACCCGAGCTAACACTTTAGGGTTTAGGGTTGGAGAGTGGAATGAAACATTATTTATAAGTGTGTGGAAACTTCTTCCTAACCGACCTATTTTAAAAACCTTGAGGGTAAGTCTAAAAGGAAAAGCCAAAAGAAGACAATATGGGCTAGCGGTGGGCTTGAGCTATTACAAATGGTATTATTGTAAGACATCGGGTAGTGTGTTAACGAGGACGTTGGGCTCCGAAGGGGGTGGACACTAGGCGGTGTGCCAGTGAGGACGATGGATCCTAGAGGGGGGAGGATTGTGAGATTCCACATCGATTGGAGAGAAGAACAAGTGCCAGCAAGGAGATTCCACATCCTAGAGGGGGTGGGATTGTGAGATCCCACATCGATTGGAGAGTGGAATGAAACATTATTTATAAGTGTGTAGAAACTTCTTCCTAACAGACTTGTTTTAAAAACCTCGAGAGGAAGCCTAGAAGGAAAAGCCAAAAGAAGACAATATGGGCTAGCGATGGGCTTGAGTTGTTACAAATGGTATAGAGCAAGACATCAGTGGTGTGTTAGCGAGGACGTTGGGCTCCAAAAGCGGTGGACACCAGGCGGTGTGCCAGCGAGGACGTTGGACCTTAGAGGGGGGGGGAGGATTGTGAGATTCCATGTGAATGTTTGCTGAATCCACCACACCTAAATGGGGGTGAGAGTTCTCTTATTTATAATCATTTAACAAATAATATGGAAATAGCAATAAAAGGAAAGAATAATAAATGAATACAATATATTTGTCTTTAATAAAAGGGCAAATATGGTAACCCGTAATGTAAGGCAAATATAGATATTTGCCTTATAATGAACGGTCAACTATCCTTAGCACCCCCCGCAAGCTGAGCGTCGGATTTGAACGAACGTGAAGCTTGGATCTAAAAAATTCAAAGAGAGGTCGAGAAATACTCTTTGTGAAGATGTCAGCAATTTGGAGATGAGAGAGTACATATTGTGTGCGAAGTTTGCCAGCGATAACAAGTTTGGCCCGCTTGTGAGAAACGGGATTAGAGCTCAAAAAAATAGCACTTTTGTTGTCACATAAGAGTAAGGGCTGCTGTAAAATAGGGATCTTGAGGTCATGCAAAAGATGCGTAACCCAAAGAAGTTCAGCAGCAGTTGTGGCAAGAGCACGATACTCAGATTCACAGCTGGAGCGTGAGACAGTAGGTTGCTTTTTGGCACTCCAAGAAACGAGATTGTTACCAAGATAAATAGAATAGCCGGATATAGAACGACGAGTATCGGGACAACCAGCCCAGTCAGCATCCGAATAAGCGACTAGCGTACAAGGAACAGTGGATGGACGAAAGGTAAGACCAAAGTGGAGTGTTCCTTTGACATAGCGAAGAATATGTTTGACAGCAAGAAAGTGATCTGCAATAGGGGCATGCAAGAATTGACTGACAGAATTGACAGCATAGGCAATATCTGGATGCGTAATAGTCAAGTACTGAAGGGCGCCAACAAGAGATCTGTAGAGAGTAGGATCAGAGAAAGGAGGACCATCAGCAGTCAGGTGTTGAGAAACAACCATGGGAGTGTGAACTGGTTTGCTATCGAGCAATTGAGTACGAGTAAGAATATCTCGAGCATATTTTAACTGACTAATAAAGAGACCATCAGAAGTGGGTGAATCTTCAAGACCAAGAAAGTAACTGAGAGAACCCAAATCTTTGGTAGCAAACTCAAAATGAAGCTTGCGAGTAAAGCTGTCAATAAGAGATGAGTTATTGCCGGTAACAATAATGTCATCAACATAAAGAAGCAAATAGAAAGGTTAGATTGCTGATGAAAAACAAAAAGGGACGTGTCAGCGCGACTGCAAGAAAACCCAAGTGTGAGAAGAAATGAGCTAAAACGCTGAAACCAAGCACGAGGAGCTTGCTTTAAGCCATAGAGGGCTTTCTTTAATAGACAAACATGAGTGAGAAATCGAGGATCAATATACCCAGGAGGTTGTTCCATATGAACACGTTCAATAAGAGTTCCATTGAGAAAAGCATTCTTGACATCAAGTTGTCGAAGAGGCCATTTATTTGTGACTGCAATAGAAAGCACAACACGGACAGTAGTAGCTTTGACAACCGGACTGAAAGTGTCAGTGTAGTCAAGACCAGGAACCTGAGTATAACCTTTGGCAACAAGTCGAGCCTTGAAATTCTCGACGGATCCATCAGGCAAATATTTAATACGAAACACCCATTTAGAGCCCACGATGTTGGAGTTGGCAGGGCGAGGAACCAAAGTCCAAGTATCATTTTGTTGTAACACTCGAATTTCTTCATCCATGGCAGCCACCCAAGCAGGATTCTTAGCCGCAGATTTAAATCCTTTTGGCTCAGTGGATGCAAGAAGAGCAGAAAGAAGTCCAGATGAGCCCAAAATACCAAGATTTGCTGGATGACGAGTCTTGAATATACCTGCTTTGGCTCGTGTGATCATAGGATGAGTGCCCAAAGAAGAGAAACCAACAGGAGGTTCAATAGAGGTCGAATTAGAAGTCGAGGGTGGCAAAGTGGAACCTGCAAGAGAAGTATCAACCTGCACAGACTCATTTACAAGGTCAGAACAAATATCACACGGGGATGAACTAGATCGAGGAATGTGCGGTGATGAAGTGGTAGGGGGGGATGAATCAATATGATGAAGATGTGGTTCCAAGAAATTTGAAATAGGAATAGAGGAAAGAGGTTGGGCCTGGGAGCTAGGGATAGTAGGAAAGTGAGTTTCATCAAATTGAGCATGGTAGGTGATATATAGCTTAGTGGTGGCGGGATCAAGACAACGGAACCCTTTATGAGCAGGACTATAACCCAAAAAAATACAAGGAATGCTGCGGGGAGAAAGCTTGTTAGGCATATAATCACGCAAATAAGGATAAACACGACAACCAAAGGGATGAAAATTATCATAATGTGGAGTGTAGCCATAATGGAGTTCAAAGGGTGACTTACCTCCAAGAAGTGGAGTAGGCAACCGGTTGATAATATAAGCTGCAGTGCTGAAGGCGTCAACAAAAAAACGAGGAGAAAGATGAGAGTGAAAGAGAAGGGCCAAGCCAGTCTCAGTCACATGACGATGTTTTCTCTCAGCACGACCATTTTGAGTAGGTGTATATGGACAAGAGAGTTGATGGTGGATACCAGAATTACGTAAATGAGTTTTAAAACAAGTACTAGTAAATTCGGTACCACCATCGCTTTGAAATACCTTGATACGAGAATAATATTGATTTTCCACAAATTTTTGAAATTGAAGAAAAATATCAGAAAAATCATATTTAAATTTTAAAGTGTAAAACCAAGTGAATCGAGAATAATCATCAATAAAAATAACATAATAAATAAAACCCGAATTTGATTTGACGGGAGAAGGACCCCAAAGATCACAATGAATAAGATCTAACACATGAGACGACCTACGTTCATTGCAGAAATAAGGCAATCGATGACTTTTCGTAAGCTGACAATTATTACATAATGATGGAGAAGGCAATAAAGACGTAAGAGAAAGATGACCTTTTCTATTTAAAAAAGAAATAACAGAATGATTCACATGACCTAGACGAGCATGCCATAAATCATATGAAGCACGTAAAGATTTGTTTCTAAGGGCTGAAATAAAAGCAGAGTTGCCGCGCTCCAGCACATATAAGCCCTCCATCTCTTTTACCGGTTGCCACCACCCTTCCTGTTTGACGATTCTGGATAGTAATAAGATTATTAGTAAATGTAACAGAGAGAGGAAAGTCAGACGTTAATTTACTAATGGAAAGAAGATTTTTAGTGAGGTGAGGGACAACCAAGAAATCTAATAAGTGAATATTTGGAATAGGAGAAAGAGTACCGGTGTGGGTAATGGGTAGGGATGCACCGTTTCCTACGATCACAGAGTCGTTACCCGTGTAATTTTTAGACTGATTCAGAATAGATGGGTCGGCAGTCATATGGGCCGAAGCTCCAGTGTCCAGAAACCAATCAGCAGCATCGGGTCCAGCAATAGAACATGACGTGTTAAAGGCTTCAGCAAGGTGAGCATGAGAAGAATCAGGTCGAACATACCGTTGGTTGCATCGGTCAGCATAATGGCCCTCTTTGCGGCATATTTGGCAGTGAGGTGGTCGACGACCCTGACTTGAGTGGGTTCGTCCTCGACTAGAAGAGTTGTTTTTGTGAGAATAAGAACGACCTCGCTGGTTGGTAAAGGAAGCAGGGTGGCTTCCATGGGTGCGACCACGATTAGTGGCTTTGAATGCTGTAGGAGTGGAGTCAGAGGACTCAAGGGAGCGCTGGAACAACTCAAAACTTTCAGCTTTAGAGACTAAATCTGCAAAACAGGGGATAGGGGTGAGAGCCATCTGAGCAGTAGAAAAAGCAGAAAATTCGGTGCCGAGTCCACGAAGGAACCAGTGCACTTTATCAATCCTCGATGGGTCTGCCAATGGCATGAAGTTGGTCACAAATTTTTTTGAAGGCACGGGCATACTCAGCAACAGGTTTGGTGCCACGTTTCATCAACTGCAAGTCATCCTTGAGTCTCAGTTCACGAGCTTTCGACTGATGGCTGAACGTAGTTTCCAACGCAAGCCAAACATCACGTGCAGTAGAGAGACCAACGACAACAGTCATGGCTTCCTCAGTGAGAGAGGAGAGCAGGAGACAGAGAAGTCATTGATCGACTACTCTCCATGCCAAATATTTTGGGTTGAGTGTTGAGGAGGTTTCTGGTTCAAAGCGAGGTGGTGGAATCATAGTTCTATCGACATAGCCCAGCATGTCTTGACTCTCAAGGAGAGGGAGAAGTTGGCTTTTCCAAAGAAGATAATTGGAGGAAGAAAGTTTGATGGTGATCATATGGATTAGAGTATTGAAAGGAAGAAGATGATAAGAAGATTCGGAAGCCATAGGGAAAAAAGGATCAGGGTTGTTAAACCAAAGGGGCTCTGATACCACGTGAATGTTTGCTGAATCCACCACACCTAAATGGGGGTGAGAGTTCTCTTATTTATAATCATTTACAGAATACAGAAATATGGTAAATTACAAATAATATGGAAATAACAATAAAAGGAAAGAATAATAAATGAATACAATATATTTGCTTCTAATAAAAGGGCAAATATGGTAACCCGTAATGTAAGGCAAATATAGATATTTGCCTTATAATGAACGGTCAACTATCCTTAACGTTCCACATCGATTGAAGAGAAGAAAGAGTGCCAGCAAGGACGCTGGACCCAGAATGAACACCGACGGTGTGCCAGTGAGTGCGCTGGCCCCAAAGGGAGGTGAATTGTGAGATCCCATATCGATTAAAGAGAGGAACGAGTGCCGGCGAGGATGTTGGGACCCAAATGAACACTGGGCAGTGTGCCAGTTAGGACACTAGACCTCGAATGGGAGTGGATTGTGAGATCCCACGTCAATTGGAGGGTGGAACGAAACATTATTTATAAAGAGTAGAAACCTCCCCTAGCTTACAACTCTTTAAAAACATTTAGTGAAAGCCCAAAGAAGACACTTTATAGTAGTCGTCCAAAAAAAAAAATTCAACCCAACTCAAATTGGAAAAAAGAAAAATCTACCCTAACCCAATCTTTATTGTTTAGATTGAGTAGTTCCAATTGAATCAGGTTCTCTAGTCATATGAATATCCATAGTTTATAGCCATCAATGTCCTACATTGGCTAGAAAAGTAAAAAAAAATTGATATATAATTTTTTTTTTCTTTGAAACTAGAAGAAAGTCGTGACTATGTTTACATATGGATTCCTACATCCTTACATTCCATTTAGGAATAGACGTATATACTTGTTTTTTACATGCCTGTCGTCACTTGGGATCCTATTCATCTCTTTTAGCTTCTATTGAATCGAAAAATAGATTTGATTGTCCATCTCTTTTATATAATAGTAAAGCATTCTCTAGATAATTCAAATTGAAGCAATTGGATTTGAACCTATATGACATGACTGAATAATATAAGTTAATGTTTAAAGTAAACAATTTCATACTATTGAGGAGATATGTCGATGATCGTTGTCCCTAACAAACAAAAATTGAATACATGTTTTGAGGTATTGAGAATTTTCTTTGTACCTTTAGCGTTAAAAAACGGGCATGAAATCGCACCTTAAACTTGGATAAATATTGTAATTTTCATATTAAAATTTAAAAAGTATGGTAAATTTAAGTGCAAGATTATTACTGAGAAGAATTACGGTTGTTCTTAGGTTAGGTTTGAGACATTTTTTTTAAACTCAACCCAATTATTTCAGTTGTCAATTTTTTCAATCCAAACTACTTTTATTCTATAATTAATCAAACTCGAGTTGGATTAGCTAGGGTTGTTTGGGGATGATATTTGAGCATTTATTTATTTATTTATTTAATAAAAAGTAAAATTTAGTTCGTAAAATATCTACTTATTTATTTTCAAACATTTAATTAAGATCGTAAAATATCTATTTATTTATTTTCAAACATTTAATTAAGATATACCACTCATTTTGACTATATATTTACAAAAATTATATTGTAAATAGTTAGAAAATTATTTATTATTTTTAAGAGTCGTTAAAAAATAAATAATTATGAAATTAAATTAAAATAAAATAAATATATGTATATATAATTGTATGATAAGAAAAATCATATTTTTTTAAAAAGTTAAAAATAAATTCGGGTGGGCTCCATTCAAACTAATCTATTTTATGGGAACCCAAAAACCAATCTAACCCCTAAATTTTCATTTATTTGAACTTAACCGAACCCAAATAAGTTTATAATCCAACCCATACTTAATTGAAATGTAACTGAATGAATTGTATGACATGAAATACGGTAAATTGCATGATACATAACCCTGCTAGGAATATGTATGATATGTAACGAAACGAGAATGAGAATGACATGTAAGCATGAAAACGTGACACGGGGTTATGTTCATTAAATGATGACTGTAGGACTAGTGGGACCTCATGCATATTGTGTGACCATGCACTTGGGGGGATACCCCTATCCCATCACGAGGGTACGGGCGCGTACATCCAAATGGCAGGACAACGATCGTTATGCCCTGCATAGCGCTGCCGTGACGATTTTAGTTTTAACGGGTCCCGGTGGGCCCCAGAGCATGTCCACCGGCTAGGGACAGTGGCCCAGCGGTGTGCGAACTAGCTGGTGAGCCCATACTTGCATGTATGGGCTGCGTGTAGAGTATATGGTACACGTCCACGATTACCTGTTAGGATTACACCGTAGGGAAAACGAAATGAAACGAAACGAAAGATAGGTCCCATCATTTCATTGCATGTGATTGTTGCATTTAACCCTAATAGTGGGGTCACTTATTGAGTATTTCTTTAAGTACTCAAGCCATGTGCTACTACATTTTTCAGGTTAAGGTAAGACATTCCTGTACGGCTGACGACGACACCGCAACTCGAGATCATGGCACATGCATAGGATAGTGGTATTTATTTTCTTAGGTTATGGTATGTATACAGTAGCGACCTTAAATTAAGTAGAAAATTTCGGGTCGTTACAGCGGAGTTCACAAATTCACATCCTCCTTTCAACATGAATTAAACCTATGCATATATATATATACATATATATATTGATAATATCCATAAATGACTTGTTTTTGGTAAGAGATGTACTATAGTACTATACTATACTAGACTATATGTATATTCGGGTGCATGGTACACATCAGTACTCCAATGCATTTCTCCGAGTCAGAATCAATATCTTTTCGAACCCTCTCTTTCTTTGACAGAGTGTATGTTCCCGCGCGAATCTCAACAATCACTTGTTCTGATTCTACATATTGATCGTTTTGAACTCAAAGTCAATCAACTTTTGGGTGGAATAGTGACGTTATGTATAATATCCTCCCTCACTCTCCTTAGATCCAAGTTGATATGAACCAAGAGACATCAATCATACAATATGCTTCAATGAAGATGTGAAGAAAAGGTTGTCAAAATTATCAAAATATGTTTCAATTCATACTACATTGAAGGAGAATAAAGTTTGATTGTTGTAAATTTTGAGTGGGTTATAATTTAGAATAATTTAGAGTCATTGTATTTTAAGACTTTTTATTTAATTTCGATTACATTTACATAATGGCTAATTATGGCCATAAAGTGTGAATGTTACAACTTTTGGAATGCCTTTAATAGTTTCATTTTGAGCCTATATAAATAGAAAGTCATCTATGTTGTATTTGTAAGGCAGACTTGGAAAATACAGTAAAAGAAGCATTTGTGCTTTCTTTAGCCAATGGCTAAGTTTAATTGCAACTCTATGTAGTTTAGGTTGCATGTAGAATCATTCAAGCTCGACATGATCAATTTTGCTTGTGGAGTGATTCGAATCTAAATCAAGTGTTCTTGTCTTGAGATATTTGATCAACAAGAATCATTGAAGCTAGACATGATCGATCTTGCTTCTCGAGTGATTCGAATCTCAAACAAAGTGTTCTTGGCTTGAGATATTCGATCAACAAGGTAATCCGAATCTTATTCCCCTTGTATTGATTCCTTATCTTATCACAAGTCTATATAACAATAACACAAAAACGCAGGATGCCCATGACGTGTACGTGTGGAACCAAATCCTCATTGAATACATACATATATATATACATATATATATACATATATATATACATACATACATATATATATACATATATATATACATATATATATACATATATATATACATATATATATATATACATACATACATATATATATATATATATATCGCGGAAGCTTAAAGCATAATTGCAACACTCAGATAATTCTCAATATGCTTTATACAATACATTCATACTCATAATAATTAGACTACCTAAATTCATTCATGGAAAGCTACCACCTACGGTAAATTCCCTAGCATGCATTTATACCAAGCGATTCCTATAAGTATTGCTTCCTAAAACCATGTGGTGACTTACATGATTGACGCATGCTCTTTCGTTTAACGTTCCTGTGTAAATAAGGTGTGATCATGGTTGGTATTTATTTGAAAAATGGGCATTTGGAAGTGAATTACCAATTATTCGTGATGTAATTCGAGAAGAACTTGTTAAAAAATTTGGTGGCATACCCTTGGCTGTAAAAGTGTAAGGAGGAATGGTATAATTATGCAAGAATTACGAGGGCTGCTCTCTCTCCTATAAGAAAGAACTTAGGAGAAAGAACTTATCTAGGCGGGGTAGCACAAGAGTTTATTCTAACTAATCCAAGAGACACAATGTAATGATGGAGGATATTGGAGGCACATTGTAATGACCAAAATTTTCTATTTAATTTATATCATAAACATTAAAGGTGGAAATACTTCATTTAAACTTTCATAAAATATAATCATGGACTTAACCTGGTTTGAAAACACTTTTGAAAACGACATAAGAAAAGATTAAATAAAATAAACAAATGTTTAAATTAAAAACATCTTATTCTAGCCTAGGTCTAAGAAAATAATACAATAACTCTATGCATGTGTCATGGTCTCGAGTTGTGATACTGTCGTCAACCGTATAGGAATGTCTTGCCTTAACCTAAAATAGAGGTAGCGCATGGTTTAAGTATTTTAAGAAATACTCAGTGAGTGACCCACTATCGGGGGATAAATGCAAGAACATGCAAATGCAATGACGGGACCTATCCTATTAGTCTCTTTTCCTACGACACTATCCTAATGGGCAGCTTGGATGTGTACCATATACTCTACACACAGCCCATACGTGCGAGTATGGGCTCACCAAACAGTTCCCACACCGTTGGGCCCCTTTTCTTCTCGGGCGAGCTAGCTCCCTATGCCGGACACCCATTAGAAGTTTGAAAATTTTGAAATTTGGCTTCCAAAGAAGCCATTTCAAATTTTGAAATTTGGTTTCATAATTTATGAATGTCCTCGATTTGACCTAAGTTGAGGAGGCAAAACTTTTTTTGTGTACCATACGTCGATTTTGAACCCTAGAAATCCTTATTTTTGGTTAGTTTCTTTTCTTATTAACCTTGTATTTGAACAATTATATTAATTTTGTTACTATATTTACTATGGCTTTAAATTTATCTTGGTAACATTTATCTTTATTGTTCACCTTATTAAATTAACAAAGCCCACAAATTATTTATTTACTTGGAAGTTTTAGATGGTCATGAATTCACATCTTAGAAATGGGGAAAAATGAATAATTCAAACCTTATTTACTTGGACAAACCAAAAATGATCACGAGACAATTCCCAGTCGTATAGAGGAAGATATTGAAAGTGGTAGGTGGGCGAGCAAATTTTCGATGTTCGACTCGGCAAGCTCCCTTACAAAGATCTCGTTGGTTATTTATTTTGTTTCATCTTCCAAAAACAACCTCTTACAAAGTTCCCTTACAAAGTTCAAGTGATCTATAGTATAAGGATAAGGCTGAGTACCTTATTCTGGGGACACTATGGATGCGGCCCACTTTTGTATATGATATAAACAATGTGACCACTAAATTGTACATGTGGAGACATGTAAGTGGGGGCGTCCTATGTAATGATTATTGCATAAGATCGGACCATGAAGAAAACCACCATACTTTATAATGTCGTTTACTGTTGAGACTAATTTTCTTTTCATTCGATGACCTAGGTAACTCGATCTTAATCCTGAGCTAACCATGAACTCCTGTTTATTTGGAATTATCCTTAGATATGCATGGGTGAGAGTGGCTCGAGTTTGCCGACTTAATAGGCCTCCCATTTCAGGGGTAAGACTGGGTGAATAGCTGGGGACGTGGGGTACAAGATGGAATTCGCTCCTACCCACTTTTAGGGATAGAAGAGAGGTAGTTCCCTTAAGTACTGACTCTAGGTCTTGAACAAGAGGCCCCACCCACTCATTGGCGTGAGAGGGATTCGGTTTACTGGTTGGACCACAAACCAATTGTTCATAAGAGGATCAGTGGGACTTAAGGAATAAGAAACAACTTCAGGGGTAAAACGGCTAATTGACCCAGCTTTAGCTACGAACAACCTGTGAAGGATCGACTTACTAATCATGGTTATATCAAATGAACAGAAATATATCTATAGTGAGGAGAGTGCAACTACTAGGCTATAGTGGAGTGTCCTAGTAGTTAACGAGTGTTGTTGATTAACAAGGTTAATGAGTTTAACCGGTTAATCTTGGATTGTTGGAGCCCATAATCTATAGGTCCATGAGGTCCCTCTGCTAGCTCATATCGGACTAAACAATAAAACAGTGTGACGAGTGAGTTCGAAGTGTTCGAATTCAAATTAGGAAATATGCACTACATATATACGATATATTTAACCGTATTTTTGTTTTATTTACGAATTAAACAAAAAGAGAGAATTTGAGATATTTAAATAAGTTTTAAATATTTTAATAATTGATTGGAATTGACTTTTGAGTTAATATTAAATATTAATTAAATAGTTTAATTAATCATTTAATGTTACTCTAATTTGAAATTAATTATTCAAATTAATTGTTGAATTAAAATGAAGAAAGTCAAAATGTTGACTTCATTTAATGGAAAAATACATGTTAGTGGAATTTTGAGGTGTCAAAATTTGGTTTAACCAAACTTGCATGCTTGTCAAATAAACCCCACAAGTTTGAGTGGAATTTTGAGTGTCAAAATTTGGTGATCTCAAATTTGCTTGAACATCAAACATGACTCTATAAATAGAGTGATCATGGTGCATGAAAGGTCTTCTTGGTAGAAAACCTTGAGACAAACACTCTCTTTATATATACAAAATCTCTTCCAAGTTTAGTCACTCACCGGATTCCACAATCCCGTTCTAAGGCCGGAGGATAGTGGAGAAGACACTAGTGGTGGTTCGAAACTGGTTCGTGAGAAAAAGAAATTTGAACTACAAAAGGTTAGTATTCAAACTCATTAAGTTTTAATACTTATGAACATGCTCGTTATTTACTATAATTGATGTTCTAAAAGTGCCTAAGATCCAAATTGCTTCCGCGTGTGTTATATTAACACCATCAATTAGTATCAGAGCATGTTTTAGGCACTTTATTTACATTAATTTGATCATGGTGGGTACCATTTCATGAATGAAATTTTGTGGTTGCTAAAGTGGATAGTTTTGGTTTTGGCATTTTTTTATGCTACCATTTGATACAATTATTGTAATAAGCCTAATGTGTATAGGCTTTAATGCATGAAGAAAGATCTGTAATTTGTATGGAGTCATTAGAGTTCATTTTAGGTTGTAATTGATCGAAAATGGAAGAGATAGCAAGCTGAATCGAAGAAGAAGATGGAAGAGGCGGTTCGAGTGTTTTTTCTGCCTTTGGAGTCCAGTTCAACATTTTTAAGGGTTGGTTCGCCCAGTTCGTGATCCTCGGGAGCGGTTCAAGTTATTTTAATTATTAATGTAATAATTTAGTTAACTACTTGTTTTAAAATGTCAAAACCAATCCACTTTAGCGTGTTTAATTAAATATGCATTATGAATGTATGTTTTAAATTAAATAGAAAATGTATATGCATAAAGTATGTCATATAGATTTAAAATTCCACCATAGGCTAAGCATGTTTCATGCATTCCACGTATGTTATAAGTGTTATAATGTATAGTATGCATGTTTAGGGTTCCATGAGTGATAGATATAAATTGTTATATAAAGCATGTTAGACGCATGTTATAGGTTATTTTCAACGTCATAAAACGAGATAGACGTTAAAATCTATAATAAAGATAAGTGCATGCTCACTTAGGGTTAAGAATCGAGCACGATCAATTTTAATAGTTAAAATAGGTCGATGTCTTACAAAATTGCGGTTACGAGAAAGCTCACCTGGCACGATCTTTTGCGGTCACAAAATTGCGATCTCGACCAATATCTAATTACAATTTTTTTTAATACAATACACCATTATTCATTAAATATAATGTTAAAACTAAATCCACTAATATTTATTTTAAGCAAATTTTTATAATTACTCTTATTTTATTTAATAAAAATAAAATTAATAAATTATTATTAATTTATTATAATCTATATTTTTATAAGAATTATTTTTTAGTTTTATTATAATCTATATTTTTTATAAGAATTATTTTTGAGTTAAGGAATATTTTCAATCGTTTTTTATTTATTTATTTTTATTAGAAACTAAAAATAAACGTTTAATCATAAACTATCTACTACTCGTACTATTAGCGCCATTAAATACTCCGATCAAAAAAATGACCGTCATTTTTAAATATATTCATTTGAAATAAGATATTCAAAAACATTTTAATAAATATAACATAAGAGGTATAAAAACAAAATATCTAAAATACCTAAAAAAAATCAAATAATTTATTTCAAAATTTCACACATAAATTTTATTTATATTTATTTTTGTTATCATATTTATAAGATAAATATTATTTTTGTTACCATATTTATAATATTTTATTATAGTTTAATTTTAAATAATTAGTCTCGTAAATTATTTTATTTTTATTATATCAAATTAAACCAAATGTAATACAACTACTGAAACTTATAATCAAGACTAAATTCAACTCATATTTAAAATAAAATCTCAATCTCAATTTCAATCTTGGAATGCTTAATACAACAAATTACTCTAGAAATTTACCTAATTTTCCTATTAAAATATTGGGAAGAACGTTAAAATTAAAGCAGTCAATGTTGTGAACCGAAAAATCTCTCGCAGTTGTATCATCTATTAACTTCTCCATCTTCTTGGTGGTGGGATTATACAACATTAATTCAGCTCCAGCCCAAAGACACAAGATCTTTCCATCTTTACATATTTTAATCGGTTCCACTGTCGATTTTGAGAAGAAAGTATATTTTTATTGACATCTGGTATGATGACACTAAATGCTTTAATCCACGAACCATCTTCTTTCATCTTCCACACCCTATACTTGTACCCCTCCATAGAAAGAGTTAAATGAATGGCACCATTAAATATTCCAATACAAGGAAAATAACCGTCATCATCAGGAAAAGGAATCTGCTCGTATTTCTCATCTTCCATATTTAGACGATAAATGACATCCGGACCAAGATTATTTTGGCCAATCCAATGCAGCCCTCCGTTTAAGTAAACACCATGGCATCCAT